CATATTGCCTATCATATCCTTGAGAGCCAGGAAACTATTCCCACTAGTCGGGTAAGTCTTGCGAGTACATTCTGTACTCAGGGTTTATTTTACCCCTGTTGTAGGTGTAGTTTGAGGAGTAGCTCTTGTGTGGAGGATTCTTCTAGTGGACACAGATGGATCCTTGTATCATTTCTGCTAGATGTATATTTTTATTCCGCTATTTAATTATCGCACTCTGAACTCTGGTATTGTAATAAATAATTTCCAAGAACTCTTGTTGTATGAAATGGACTAAGTGTTGTAAGTTCATACTCATTATTGGAACCTAACGGTAAAATGTGGATTGTTTTGAGTTTTCCCTTGCGGTGGGCTCGACGGGACAGTCCAATGTAGCTAACTTTCGGGGTGCTTAGTGTCTAATGGAAGACGAGCGTCTCTCGAAAGCGTGTTATTTCAGACGGTTCTGCCACATGATACCACTTGAAAGATCCTAATGGCAAGAGGGGGTGAATAGCCTATAAAAAATTCTACAACAACACTAGAGCCAAGTGGTTAGACAATTAAATGGTGAAGCGAGTGTTGCGCTAGCCTACTAAAAATGCAAGTCACATACTGAAAGGACATTAATGTCGCCTAGGAGGCCTAGAGAGGGGGTGAATAGGCCTGTAAAAATTCAACTTGAAACTCTGTTAGAACAGAGGGCGGCACTGCCGGCCTTATAGGGCGGCACTGCCGCTCTTCAAAAATAAAGCAGACAGCGTTGAGGTTTCACAGATAGTAACCTGACCCTCTCACCAACTATTTCATTACCATCCAATAAGTCATATGTTGGTGAGGAAGTGGATGTGGCATGATCAAATAGGCCTTTTGAGAGAATCACTTGAGGCTCGTCATTTGTCGATGAAGTTGAGCATTCCTCAAGTGGGTTTCCCAATGAGAGGTTGCTCTCTTCACATTTGGAGTTGCCATACATTTCCTTGAGCGTGGTCCAAATGATGTGAGCATCACCAAGTGGTTTACCATCTCCAAATATGATAGCATCAAGTACATCTTCACTCAAAGCACTAAATAAGACATTAGCAGCTTGAGCATTGAGTTGTAAGCATTTCACTTCCTCTCTAGATAGGTAGGTCAAATCATCATAAGGAGGTGAAATGCTCACGTCTAGAATCTGCTCTATTTGAGGACCCATGGTCCTAAAAATATCAAGCACACTAGCATACTAAGATGTATAATTTGAGCCATCTAAAAGTAAAAGTTCTAGATATACCTCCTCACTTGACGACATCGTTCTCTCAAGGCGGTTAAGCCCAAAATTGAGAGCCAGGCTCTGATACCAATTGAAAGGACCTTGATGTCGCCTAGGAGGCCTATTGGGGGGTGAATAGGCCTGTAAAAATTCAACTTGAAACTCTGTTAGAACAGAGGGCGGCGCCGGAGGCCTGATAGGGCGGCACTGCCGCTCTTCAAAAATAAAGCAGACAGCGTTGAGATTTCACAGATAGTAACATGGCCCTCTCAGCTGCTCAATCCTGCAAATTCAACTCGAAACTCTGTTAGAACAGAGGGCGGCACTGCCGCTCTTCAAAAATAAAGCAGACAACGTTGAGATTTTACAGATAGTAACATGACCCTCTCAGCTGCTCAATCCTGTAACAGAAAGACAAAATCCAGTTTGAAGACTGGATACCACAGAAATCTCACACAAGAGAGGATCGAGCTACCGAACCCTAACAACAGCTAGCAAAGAGCTGAACCAGCAAGAACACAAAGTGAAGCATGCGAGACACACAACTTATCCCATGGTTCAGCTCGCCACCAAGGCTTACCTAAGTCCATGTTGTTGAGGCATCCACAAAAGGATTGGCTCACCACCAAGGCTTGCTTTGCCCTCGTTCTCAAATCAAGAGAATGAACTCTTAAAGTGAGATGTGATTTCTTAGCTGCAAGATGAGGTTACAAACCTTCCAAGGTTACCACATGAGTTGGCAAGCACAAGGGCGACGCCTAGTCGGCTAGGAGCAAGCTCCAAGAGTAACAAACCCTAGAACCATCGACCAAACGTGAACCAAATGCTCTTAGACTTTGGGAATCAGTGGATCTGCTCTCCAATCGAGTTTTGCTGCCTTTTCTCTCAAGTTTTGATGGTGGAAATCAAGGATTGCTTGAGGGATGAAGGAGCAACAATGGAGGAGAGAGAGGTGAGCTTTGGTCTATTCAGTTTTGAACTGAACCGTTGGAGAGGAAGGATCTAAGTTATGGGCCGGCCTAAATGGTATTTATACCACTTGGGTCCCAATGGTTGTTTATGGGCGGCACTGCCGCCCTAGCCAAAACAGGTAGAATCTGGAGATTTTTGGCTGGCTGCTTTGGCTGGGTAAGAGGATATAGATCTGTAGTTTTGAGCATTTGGTTGCACAGTTGACCAATTGTACTAGAATCCCTCTTTATAGTACGGTTTTTCCTAAACTCAAATTCAAAGCATAAAAGAATGTAAATGCCTTTAAGCTGGTTGCCACTTTATTTGGCAATTGAGGACTTCTATCATCGAATATGTTTTCCTCATTCTCATTATACCTTGATTATGTGACTTGAACCATTTCCATACATATGAGTTCACCTTCATGGCTTCAAGTCACTTCCACTAATGATTTGATCCTCAACACAATATGACTCCTCATAGCTTGATTAGTACCTCGACTCAATGCAAGTACTCTCTTCTTCACCTTAGCCATGGTACCTCGGTCGCCAAGCCATCGCTTGCCCTTCACCTTCACCAGCCAAAGAACACAGATAAGCCGGATATATAGAGCTCCATGGTGGGATCCTAGACGCTGGAAAAAAAGCCTTGTTAAAAAATCATTATGGGATGATAATTGTGTCTCACTAAGGGACATCGAATCGTCTGGGTGGCTCCACTCTTCCAATTCTCCAAAAATCACTACCAAAGATGCTTGGATATTCTACACCGGATGATAAGCCGTCACCACTAAGGTACACTAATGGATCATAAGATGCACACTAAAGAGCTACTGGACCCATGAAAGTGCAATAGAATCATACTGTGCACTCTAGTGACGAGAATGTCCAAATTGATAAAGGCCTACACAGTATCACCGGATTATGCACCTGTCCACACAAGATCCATTGATGTATCATCCAGTGGATGACACTGACTAACACATAGTATTGCAGCAGAAGATCCTGTAGCCTGGATTAATGGATCCGATGACCTTCTAACTTGAAATCTGGCTCTGTTTAAAGTTCGATCTCGTGTAATTCAACTTCTTTGAAATCCTTGATTTCTTTTTCTATTGGAGCCACTCATGATTGAACTTCCTAGGAGTTTCTCACATATGTGCATCAAAGTGCTCTTGACTCTAACTTTAATGAAGTTACTACTCTTAATAGAGTATGGCCAAACATAACCAAAAGCCATAACGCTATTAAGCCTAAGTACTCCCAACACCAAGTGAAACTACCTTGCCCTTAGCCTTCACAAATAACCTTCATTGCCGAATCTAATCTCCGAGAGCCACGATAACCATGTGGCCTCAATGTGACTAAACTTCTCTCATCAATCCTGTAAAACAAAATTAGCCACATACCCTTGCGCTCCATGCATTCAATCTCATTGTAGATGTTGTGACATGAGTAGAACCAATGAGTAGCTCATGCATACGGTGGTTCTTTTCATCTCACCAAGTAGCCAAGGTCGAGGTCAACGTGGTCAGGCCATGGAGGAAGGCATGGGTTCGAAGCATCAACAGAAACACACGAGTACACATAATCACCAGCTTCTAGCCGACGATCGACGTAGGACAATGAGCTGATCAAATGGTGAAGGTAGATGGGGTTGCTCACACATGCCATCATTTAGTAGCCACATTGGAGACAATGTCCTAAGGTGGTAGCAATATGCACATAATCCAACCTATAGCCAACGTAACGAGGACTAGAAGCATGGGTGACGTCAGCTTGATAGGCAATGACCATGAAGATAGCTTGACCACTAGTATAGTGCTATTGCTTCCTAGGAGGTTATGCAATGACAAACCCATCCATGGGAGAGTTGACGATTGAACATCAAGGAGTCGATAGATAGGGCAACACAACCTCGACATTCGAACAAAAAAGAATAACAATATCATCTCCTTGGAGAACCACAACACAACCAAGCATGACACATCCTAGCTGGTGATGGCACCCTCGATGTGTAGCCCCCCATGGCGATAATCACGGTGCCACACATCAGGGTGCAAGATGATCACATGTTCAACTCATGGTTGACGGGCCTAACAACGCGGATTGGAAGATGCCTTAAGATACCTCCCCATGCTGCTTGATGGTGATACATAGGGAGGATCATCTAGATTGGTCCCAACCAAACTACGGGATGCTGCCCTCGATGGAGATTAATCTAGCTGAGACCATATAATCTAGCTAAGACCCTCGTTAGGAGGGGGGGTGGGGGAGAGTAGCAGAAACAACGGAAGTCTCAGCTATGGAATAAAACCCTAAACTCGTGATACCATGAAAGCATAGTAGATTGATTGGATATATGCGTGGGGTTAGATTGATCGAGCCTCTCAGACGCTATATATAGAGTTTAGAGACTAAGAGTTAATTAGAGCTCACTGGATACATTTTTTCGACAATGAAAAAAGTTTTTGGCCTCTACAGCTGCACACCGCCAAATATGTATATTTTCCTCACCGGATACATATAGCAATATCTAACTACAATCATATAACCTACAAAATCTATTCATTCAGTGACTCATTGCAGAAGCTGTCTTCTGGTAGGAACTTGTTCTAGTTATGCTCAGAGCAAAAGCTAGATACCAACCACTGTTTAATTCATGGCTAGAAGCCCTTGTGTAATTGCGTTAATTTTTTGGTTTCCTTTTTTGTTTCTTAATTGTATCCAGTGGACAACTGCCTTTTAATTTCACCTCCTGTTTCATTAATAAAAAACACCGGCAAAACCCGACCGATCCCATACCTTGCTGTGGGGAAATGTTGATGCCGAACAGGTTAAAAAAAACTCGGCTGAGTCTGAGTCTTTCCTTGTGGCTCAAAGTCGCTTTAGAAAAAGCCGTCCATCAATTTAAATTGACCAACTGTTATCCGTGAGAACAATTAAACGTTCAGGTACCCTGACGATCCATACGACAGAGTATGGATACCTATAATTGACGCCACCGACTGGGCCGTGATATCCACAACGGAAACGGTGCAGAACGAATACAAAGACCTCTTCGAGGCGCCGTCGAAGGTGATGCAGACGGCGATCACGCCGCGTGACGCTGCTAACAGCATCAACTTCCACTGGGACTCTAAGCCGCAGTCCAAGGGCCCGTCGCTTGGGTACATACCGGTCTTCCACTTCGCCGATGTGCTGCAGGGCGGCGGCGTTCGCCAGTTCAACATCAACATCAACAACGACAAGCCGTGGTCTCAAGATTACACGCCAAGGCACCTCTACAGTGCTACGTCTACGGTACCAGCCCTTATAGCGACCAGACCCGGTATAACGTCTCCATCGTCAAGACAGCCACCACAACGCTGCCGCCTATCATCAGCGCCGCCGAGGTTTTCACAGTCATCTCCATCACCGACGTTGGCACGGACTCGGAGGACGGTATGCACGATTCGTGCATGAGTCCATATATGTACGTTACCATACCAGATGAACTGAAACTCAACTTGAGTACAATACGATCAACAGTCTGCTATGATGGCTATCAAGGCGAAGTATCAGGTGAAGAAAAACTGGATGGGAGACCCGTGCGTTGCGGAGACTTTTAGGTGGGATGGCCTGACGTGCAGCTATGCCATTTCCAGTCCTCCAAAAATTACTGGCGTGTAAGTGGTGCCCATGACATCTACGCAGAACACTACTTCGCTTTTACTGCGGTTTGCATTGTTAGCCCACAAGATCTCCGGCACGGTGAGTCGACCACTCACCAGCGTTGCCGACTACGACTATCGTTGTCCGACCACACACTATGGCTAGAGACAGAAGAAGAGAGGGAGAACAGAGTACACACAGCAAAAGCACCAGCGTTGGACGGAGCTCTGCAGATGAGATGTCAAAACTGAACTCGCTCTCTTTACTAAGTTGCAGTGACAAACTATATATACAACTCTACCCATCTAATCATAGTATAGCTGCCATGCAGCTACAGTGACTGATGAGACAGCAGGACTGACTTTGGCGCCTGCCCCTGCTGTGGCTACAATGCGGCAGGAGAGACGTTCGACGTCCCGCCCCTCATCGTGTGGCTACAAGATTACCACAAAGAGGGAGCCTTTTCAGCTCCGCCTTTCCCTACCGTGCGTTCACACAAGGGAGCAGTAGATTACTCAACAATTCTTCCCTTAATTCTACTGCTAACTGAAAGGACCTTGATGTCGCCTAAGAGGCCTAGAGGGGGGGTGAATAGGCCTGTAAAAATTCAACTTGAAACTCTGTTAAAACAGAGGGCGGCACTGCCGCTCTTCAAAAATAAAGCAGACAGCGTTGAGATTTCACAGATAGTAACCTGACCCTCTCAGCTGCTCTATCCTGCAACAGAAAGACAAAATCCAGTTCGAAGACTGGATACCACAGAAATCTCACACAAGAGAGGATTGAGCTACCAAACCCTAACAACAGCTAGCAAAGAGCTGAACCAGCAAGAACACAAAGTGAAGCACGCGAGACACAAAATTTATCCCGTGGTTCAGCTCGCCACCAAGGCTTGCCTAAGTCCACGTTGTTGAGACATCCACAAAAGGATTGGCTCACCACCAAGGCTTGCCTTGCCCTCGTTCTCAAATTAAGAGAATGAACTCTTGAAGTGAGGGGTAATTTCTTACCTGCAGGATGAGGTTACAAACCTGCCAAGGCTGCCACACGAGTTGGCAAGCATAAGGGCGACGCCTAGCCGGCTAGGAGCAAGCTCCAAGAGTAACAAACCCTAGAACCGCCGGCCAAACGTGAACCAAATGCTCTTAGACTTTGGGAATCAGTGGATCTGCTCTACAATCGAGTTTTGCTGCCTTTTCTCTAAAGTTTTGATGGTGGAAATCAAGGATTTGCTTGAGGGATAAAGGAGCAACAATGGAGAAGAGAGAGGTGAGCTTTGCTCTGTTCAGTTTCGAACTGAACCATTGGAGAAGAAGGATCTACGTTGTGGGCCGGCCCAAATGATATTTATACCTCTTGGGTCCCAACGGTCGTTTATGGGCGATGCCGCCCTAGCCAAAACAGGTAGAATCTGGAGATTTTTGGCTGGCTAAGAGGATATAGATCTATAGTTTTGAGCATCTTGTTGCACAGTTGACCAACTGTACTAGAATCCCTCTTTATAGTACGGCTTTTCCTAAACTCAAATTCAAAGCATAAAAGAATATAAATGCCTTTGAGCTGGTTGCCACTTCATTTGGCAATTGAGAACTTCTATTATCGAATATATTTTCCTCATTCTCATTATACCTTGATTATGTGACTTGAACCATTTCCATACATATGAGTTCACCTTCATGCCTTCAAGTCACTTCCACTAATGATTTGATCCTCAACACAATATGACTCATCATAGCTTGATTATGTGACTTGAACCATTTCCATACATATGAGTTCACCTTCATGGCTTCAAGTCACTTCCACTAATGATTTGATCCTTAACACAATATGACTCCTCATAGCTTGATTAGTACCTTGACTCAATGCAAGTACTCTCTTCTTCACCTTAGCCATGGTACCTCGGTCGCCAAGCCATCGCTTGCCCTTCACCTTCGCTTAGTACCTCGAAGCCCTTTCCTTGCTATCTTCACCCTATCAAGCCATACTTAAGTCACATTATATTAAACATCCATTGAAAAACATTTCTTCAATATTTTGATCCTTGGTTGAATATTTTCTAGATATGAATGTTGAGATCAATCAAGCTTGAGTTTGTCTCACATAGAGACATACATGGATCAACATCAATATGGTCAAGCTAATTCATGATTCCTTATTACCTTCTCATTTTGGCTTGACATTCCAATTGATCTTTCATATATTCATCCATGTAAGCAAACCAATATAGAGACCGACTTATATCCGCTATACATTGTCATTTACCAAGTATGTTTGCTTTCACATGATGCTATGATATCCCACAACATAGAAGCCATTTCATTGATTCCATTTGCATTGTTGTCTTTTGTTTGAACTAGATTTCTTCTATAAACTTCCAATACAACAATACACAGTTTGGCATTCACTTTAACACAATGTGACATATCATCAAGTTTGCCTACTAGTTGAACCTTGTATATACTTATTAATACACAACCCACAAGTATATGCAATAGACTCAATTTCCTGTTCAACACTTAGCAAACTTATTAGACCTTTAATTGTGTTGTCATACAATTTACCAAAACCCACTAAAGTGTTAGATGCACTTACAATCTCCCCCTTTTTGGTGATTGATGACAACACAACTAAAGCTTACAAGAGATTGATAAACATTAAGATTTTGAATCCAATTATATAGTAAGCTCCCCCTAAATGTGTGCATTGAAGGAATTCAAATTTTGGCCTCAAATACCAAATGCACATATTTAAGATGAAGTGTGGGAACTCCCCTATATGTTAGCATCCATGGGGTGCAAGGTGTAACATGATAACCGTGATGCTCATGACAGTTCATGCACTAAAAGATTGCTGACTAGCAGAGGGCGGCACTGCCGCACCAGAGAGCGGCACTGCCGCACCTGCCTGACCAGCACAGGAGAAAACAAGCATTACTCAAGGCATGAATGCCACACACTAGCATAAATGGTCCTTATCACGAGCATCAATTTAAACTATCCTTGCACACACCACAATTTTTTTAAACCTTATATGTATGCCTCTCCTTTACCCCTTTCCATCCTCATATCAAACTCTCTCCCCTTACATTCTCCCCCAATATTTCTCCCTCTTTGGCATTAATCTCTAAAAAGGATCTCTCCACCAAAAGGAAGAAATGATGGTCGACAAATGAGGGCAAAAGTAGGTAAAAGTTTAGCATATGGGATTTCTCACCTATTTTCTACCAAACAAAGAATGCAACTTTTAGGTCAAGATTCTTGAGAGGTTAGCATATTTGGCTCATACCTCACTTAGATGATAGTATAACATGAGACAAACTCATGCCATCACCACAAGAGGTATCAACCAAATATCTAAAGAATTCTCTAATCGCCACCACAAGAACAAACTTATGGTGTGACTCAAAAATTGCATACATATGCACACACACTAGCATGTAAAGGCCTAGATGCACAAAGGTAATACATGAGTTCATGGAGCGATATAACTTTGTTCTAAGCCTCATAATCTCCACCATGAAGATGATTTCAATACTTGGATTTAGTGCTTTGATGGGACTAGTACTTCTTTATGCAAGATTATTTCATTTGTGCCCATCTCTCATCATCATCATCTTCAAAGAGATATCACAAACTTATGCTTGATATCAATGGAAAGTACATTGCTAGCTCTTGTTGTCATATTGAGACATCAGCTGAAGACATATTTCTTGATATACCAAGTTAAAGATTATCAACCTATACCAATTGAAATATGATCTTCATAATTTTAACACCAATTGAGAGAGTCTTCACAGGCTTTGTAATATTTTGGTCGTCAACAGCTAGCCCAGGGGCCGTGGGATGAGTATATATACACCCAAAACCAAAACTAGCCATTGGAGTTCAAAAACTAGCCATCAAGACCTGTACAGGTGCGGCATTGCCGCCCTTATGCGCGGCACTGCCGCAGCTCTCAGAAACAGTATAGGTCACCTTACGGAAAACGTCATATCTCTTTACTCCGAACTCCGTTTTTAGTGATCTTGGACTTTCCGGAAAGCTTGTTTCGGGAGATATCCAGCCCAACCAAGAGAAATCTCAAGATCAACAAGTGCAAGTGTTGTTCTATTGAGAGGATCTTCACCAGTTGATGCCAATTGGAATGAATGCCCGTATCTCATAATGTCACCTAGGGAATGCTCATAAAGACAAGAGATAGCATTAAATTGCACAAGAGAGTTTCACAACTAGTGATCATTTTGGATGTGGAAGGCATGTAGATCACTAATTGCAAAACCTTATAACATAGACTAAATTCCCTCTTTTTGATAGTGCATACATATACATGTGGAAGGCAAGAACATAGGCACTTTTGGTCAATTAAGTCCAAACAAGGGAATTTAAGCTATATTATGGAGAGTAGCTACTTTAAGAGATAAAAATACATTCCAAATGAATATGAGAGATAACCAATTTGGATTGAGTCAATGTAGCATACTCATGAGAGACTCATTCTTATCGAGAGACTACAAATTCACTAGAAGAAAAGGTTAGTCTTAAAGACACAAGACATAGAATGGGCTCCCCCTTAATATGTGCATCAAGTGCTTGAATTACTTGTGAAATGCACTAGAATCGGTTTAAGAGTCGAGGGGAGTTCATCCTATATCTTGGTCAAGGCATTATAATTTTGCAACAACTAAAATTATACCAAGAAAACATACCACCACCAAGGTAGATAGATCACCACACATATTTTCATCGATATGACCATCATAAGTTAGACTTCAATGATTTAGATGGCTATAGTTCTCTCTTGATGAAATGTGG